GATGCAATAGTACACAATGAAAACCTGGGACTTTGCATAATTGAAAGGTAGGTTTGATCTACCTTGCTGGTTGGTATACAATTTTTGGGCAATTATTAAGCCTTTTTCCAAGGCACCCCTGAAGAAACCTGAAGGCACCTCAGGGTGCATGGGCACCTTGTTTGAAAAAGGCTGCTCTGTAGGATAGGAAATCCTTTCACTTTGGAGAGAGAGCTTTCTATTTCCTATTGCCTCTCCAGGACAGGAAGTTAAGGGGCTTTCCCCAGCTGGACAAAGATGGCAAAAAATAACTTAGAGTGTTTTAATGCTTCTCTATTTTATCCAAAAATACAAGTTTAGCTTAGAGAGACTATACTAAAAAAGCTTTTTATACCCCCAGCTACTGTATATTATCTAACTCCTTCTGAGGTCCACCTCAGTCTCTCTCTCAGTTTCCCTGGGTCAAACCACCTACCTATTTAATGTAGGGAACCAGGGACATTACACATGGTTATATCAAACATTCTGGATCTAGATCAACATCAAATGCTTTTTTCCTTATTGGAAGCCAAATTCGCTATCCCAGTGACTGATTTCCTCTGTTATGCTCAAATCAGACATTATATAAGAGAGATAATGGGCCCCCATCCACACATACACCTACACCTCTCACTACAGCAATTGCTCACTCCAAAATTGAAGAAACATTCCATTTCTTGGATTTATACCATTCTAAGGCTCTCCTAGCCTCAGCACACCTGTGCCCCAAACTTGACCTATTTTTTTTTTTTAGCTTCTTTTTAAAGTTAACCCTTGTGTTACCTGAAAGGGATGGGGGAACACCCAAAAAACACAAAATGCTCACAAGATGCTTTCCAGGACTCCAATCCACATCCAAAGGCTCCAGTGACAGCTGAACCCTGCTCGGCTATCCTCTCCTGGATGATTAATGGACGATTGGACCCACATGAGGCGGAAGACCCACATGTTAGAAGACTCTTAACCCTTTAGCTCTGTGATTTGCTATTTACATAGCTATGTTTTCATTCACCTATTGCTACACTTAGTCTGCTGCCCCCAGTGGTGTCTCCTTTGCTTTACAGCTACAGGTGCTGCAATTCCTCCTAAGGAAGTTCATCCTGTTAAGTCCATCCCTGAAAGCTGACCTCAAATGGCTTTTCTATATGTTTATGCCTGATACCACCCCATTGTCTTGTAAGCTGCCAATTGTGTGAATAAATTAGTTTTTTATACTGCTACACTTAGATGTGCCCTCTGCAAACCTTGTTCATGAGCCTGGTCTGAAGTAATTCAAAGGTTTACATAATGGGACTGGCGTATACACAAGAACCTGGGTCTGTAATAGCACTAGAGGGGTATGAAGAACACTGAATTACAGCGTCAAGCCAACATGCTAAGGAATAGCAAGGTTTTTGCTAATAATAACTAAGCCTACATTCAAGACACCAAGCAACCAGTCGAGGTGTGGTACCTAGGTAAAGTGAGGTGTCCTTTGGTAGCGAAGGATTCCATCTCCCATAGCAACCAAGAGTAGACCAGCATTACTGAGATCCTCAGCCTAACTGTACAGTACAGAAGAGGAGAGTTAATACAGGACACGCACAAGATCCACGCTGTGGGTCTGGTGGGATCCCATTCTGTTACTGGGCATAAGGTAACAGATGTAGACTGACTGGTAGAAGTGGTGCGGATTTACCCTCCATTCTGAATGCAACACTTAATAGTCACTGGGTGTAGAGCTACAAGACAACACTTTATCAGGAATTCAGCTTCATGCTATATTCAGTGTTAGCTTATCTCTAAGTTGGAAGACTGCCTTAATGTTAGACTGTGCACATGACTGCAGTTCCCGTACCTGCCATTGGTAAGCACACTTCTGGCAAACGTACCCCTAGTGCATGGGAGCGGTAGGCTCTGCCCATAATGTAGCATAATCGGAAAAAGCCTTTGAAATGCAAGTTGCCAAGTGTAATGTAACTTGCTGTATCCCTGCTTTTTCTATGTATTGCACATAAATATGTGCAACTTTTTTCTTAACTGTCATATATTGTTACCATTGCATTCTCTAATAAAAAAGTAAATGAAAAAAGGGTTTGGATTTCACATATACTTTAAATAATGCATTCAAAATAATCAGTCTAAGGAAATATTTTAACTTAATACAACTTCAGTCAAGCTGGTAAGACCACATGGATGTGGAAAGAGGTGACCACACTTGTAAGGCTACGTTCACACTAGCTTTGTCAGCAGGTGTCAGACAGGTGTTTGGGAAGCATTTTTAACGCTTCTCAAACGCTTATGAAAATTCGTCACATGCTAACACACAGTGCTGTTCACAGTGAAGAGATAGCGTCACGGCAAAACTGACGCCTCATGTTGAGTCAGGAGGAGTTGAAGCCTCCCATTCAAGTCTATGGTGCTGGTCCTCAAACGCCTGGCAAGCATTTGCGAGGTGTTTGCGGAGTGTTAATACCATTTAACTTAATTATAGGCATTTGTGGTGCAGTTTTAATGCTTGGCAAATGCCTATCAAACACCTCAAAACCGCGCATAGCGCATTTGGGGAGCGTTTGAAGAGCGTTAAAAATGCTTCCCAAACGCCTGTCTAACGCCTGTCAAACGCTCTAGGGGCATTTGGCAGAGTTAGAAATAAAGTCAAGTGTGAACGAGCCCTAACTTTACTAACTTTACTATCTTCATGCACTTTGCTAACTACACGTCCAATCTTTTCTGCACAGCAGAGCGCGGAAGAAAGGGATACTTCATACCGCTTGTGTCTCTTTGTCTTGACCCTTTCCAATTCAACATCAAAACAGCCTGGACCTTTTTTATGTCTGGAAGAGTGTTTTGTTATGGTTAATGAATTACTTTTCATATCCACTAAGATAAATAGAACATAAGAGAGAAGCAGTGGCACGCGGGGGACCTTTGGCAGAGTTGCACAGCCTGCTGCCTCATTACAGAACTAGCAGTCTGCAGGAGGGCTGACATTAAAAGGTACATCACGTCCCCAGACGGCCTCCTCTAACCGAGATGATTGTAGCTTCCTAGGAAAAGTGATGGTTAGGGAGAGGAAAAAGCAAAACTGGATGTGGGCTGAATATTTCATGTAAATGCAAGCAGCCACTTACTGGTCGTTCCTGACTGATTGATGCTGGAGAGCTACTAACATCTCGCCATTGAAGAGCTTTCTCGTCTCTCCTCTCCTCCTAGTTGATGACTGTATGAAGCACTGTGGCTATTAGAAGAATATAGCTGTGTTTAGCTGGAGAGCACTTGATTACCACTGATGTTAAACTAAACCATAAGAGCATAGACACAAAGAGTGTGTGAGGAGACTGGAGACTGTGGGTTGAAATTTAAAGGTGTTAAGGATGATTGGTGTTTACTATATGCAGATGATGTTGACTCCGGCGTACGGTATAGTCGTTGCTTATGTTTTCTATTTACTAGGAGAATTCTCCCTTGTGATCGTAAAAGCCATTTTAGCCTAGGCCTTTATTTTACTTACTCTTTTTATTCACATGTATTATTCCTACTCACATTTATTCATCCTTCAGGCTGATAGGTGTTATTAACATAGGTGTTGCAACATAGTTTCTATTTCCAAATCAGCTTACTAGAAACTCTAACTACAGGTACAGGATGATTCAGTCTGAATGAACTTCAATGGTAAATAAAGAAGGGGGATCTGATATTTCTGGCCTACATGACTTCATAACTTGTCATTCTCGTAGTCATCTGGGCTTGGTAATTCCTTCTTAAATAATAAAAAAAAAAGTTTATATAGCTTAGATAATAGAAAGTGGCCATGGCTGCTGCAGATGGGTCAGGTTCAGCAGGAATGTAAATAATAAAAATAACTCTAACAACTGATACATTTGCATGGTTACTGGTCATGGAATGTTAGTTTTGCCAATAACAATTATATACTGTGTTTTTTTACCAAAGGCTTATAAAAGATATTTCATGTAAGTTGTCAAAAACTGCCGAGTAATGATGAATGTTTGATAAAATGTCTCGATAAGATATTCTGAAGTGTAGTAGGCAAATATTTCAGAGTGTAACTGATAAGCATAAAGGTGGGCAACAAGCCATAAAAAACCCTATCAAAGTATGGACTGTAATCATCTGATGGGCAAGGCATGGGTGGAATTTTGGAAATTTAGTAAACCCTGAACTTTCAAAAATTATATAATCACACAGATTATTACATATTTCAGTCAAGATCATATCAATTAAATATTGAAATATTTAAATACATTTTTAAACATACACTATATTGCCAAAAGTATTGGGACACCTGCTTTTACACACACATGAACTTTAATGGCATCCCAGTCTTAGTCCATAGGGTTCAGTATTGAGATGGCCCACCCTTTGCAGCTATAACAGCTTCAACTCTTCTGGGAAGGCTGTCCACAAGGTTTAGGAGTGTGTCTATGGGAATGTTTGACCATTCTTCCAGAAGCGCATTTGTGAGGTCAGGCACTGATGTCGGACAAGAAGGCCTGGCTCACATTCTCTGCTCTAATTCATTCCAAAGGTGTTCTATCGGGTTGAGATCAGGACACCCCAAACTCATCCATCCATGTCTTTATGAACCTTGCTTTGTGCACTGGTGCGCAGTCATGTTGGAACAGGAAGGGGCCATCCCAAAACTGTTCCCAAAAAGTTGTTAGCATGAAATTGTTCAAAATGTCTTGGTATGCTGACGCCTTAAGAGTTCCCTTCACTGGAACTAAGGGGCCAAGCCCAACCCCTGAAAAGCAACTCCACACCATAATCCCACCTACACCAAACTTCACACTTGGCACAATGCAGTCAGACAAGTACCATTCTCCTGGCATCTACCAAACTCAGACACATCCATCAGATTGCAAGACCGAGAAGCACAATTTGTCACTCCAGAGAACACGTCTCCACTGCTGTAGAGTCCAGTGACGGCGTGCTTTACACCACTGCATCCGACGCTTTTCATTGCACTTGGTGATATAAGGCTTGGATGCAGCTGCTCGGCCATGGAAACCCATTCCATGAAGCCCTCTATCCACTGTTGTTGTGCTAATCTGAAGGCCACACAAAGTTTGGAGATCTTTAGCTATTAACTCTACAGACAGTTGGCAACTTCTGCGTACTGTGCGCTTCGACAAGCGCAGACCCCACTCTGTCATTTTACATGGCCTACCACTTAGTGGCTGAGATGCTGTTGTTCCCAGTTGCTTCCACTTTGTTATAATACCACTAACAGTTAACTGTGGAATATTTAATAGCAAGGAAATTTCATGGATGGACTTATTGCACAGGTGGCAACCTATCACTGTACAACGCTTGAATTCACTGAGCTCTTGAGAGTGACCCATTCTTTCACAAATGTTTGTAGAAGCAGTCTGCATGCCTAGGTGATTGATTTTATACAATTGTGGCCATGGAGGTGATTGGAACACCTGAGTTCAATGATTTTGAGGGGTGTCCCAATACTTTTGGCAATATAGAGTATATTGGATTTGGAGATAACTGAGTCAAGAATAACAAAATAACACTGGTATTGGCAACAAATTCGATCATTCTTGGCAATTGTGTGCAAAAATAACAACATTTACAATAAAACATGGCCATGGAGATGATTGGAACACCTGAATCCATTGATTTGGAGGAGTGTCCCAATACTTTTGGCAATATAATGTATAACCCATTGAAATGTTATTACTTGCAATACATTAACCTCTTGCCCTCCAGAGGATTTACCCCCTTCCTGACCAGGCCATTTTTTGCGATACTGCGACCACCCGGCAATAAGTCCATCCATGAAATTCCCTTGCTACTAAATATTCCACGGTCAGCTGTTAGTGGTAATATAACAAAGTGAAAGCAACTGGGAACAACAGCAACGAAGTGGTAGGCCGTGTAAAATGACAGAGCGGGGTCAGCGCATGCTGATGCGCACAGTGTGCAGAAGTTGCCAACTGTCTGCAGAATCAATAGCAAAATACTTCCAAACTTTGTGTGGCCTTTAGATTATTTAGAATTGGTTTAGAATTGGTTTAGATTATTTAGAATTGGTTTCCATGGCCGAGCAGCTGCATGCAAGTCTTATATCACCAAGTGCAATGCAAAGCGTTGAATGCAGTGGTGTAAAGCACACCGCCACTGGACTCTACTGCAGTGGAGCCGTGTTCTCTGGAGTGACAAATCACAATTCTCTGGCAATTCGATGGATGTGTCTGGGTTTGGCGGGTTGCCAGGAGAACAGTACTTGCCTGACTGCATTGTGCCAAGTGTAAAGTTTGGTGGTGGGGGGGGATTATGGTGTGGGGTTGTTTTGCAGGGATCGGGCTTGGCCCCTTAGTTCCAGTGAAGGGAACTCTTAAGGTGTCAGCATACCAAGACATTTTGGACAATTTCATGCTTCCAACTTTGTGGGAACAGTTTTGAGATGGCCCCTTCCTGTTCCAACATGACTGGGCACCAGTGCACAAAGCAAGGTCCATAAAGACATGGATGAGAAAGTTTGGGGTGGAAGAACTTGACTGGCCTGCACAGAGTCCTGACCTCAACTCAATAGAACACCTTTGGGATGAATTAGAGCAGAGACTGCGAACCAGGTCTTCTCTCTGACATCAGTGCCTGACCTCACAAATGCGCTTCTGGAAGAATGGTCAAACTTTCCCATAGACACCCTCCTAAACCTTGTGGACAGCCTTCCCAGAAGAGTTGAAGCTGTTATAGCTGCAAAGGGCGGGGCCAACTCAATATTGAACTCTACGGACTAAGACTAGTGCCACTAAAGTTCATGTGCGTGTAAAGGCAGGCATCCCAATACTGTTGGCAATATAGTGTAAACTTCATTTTGATTTATCCTATCCTGTGTGTGATTCAATTTTACAGGTGTGATTAATCTGGGACATCAGAGTACGTGGTGTCAGCAGAGGTTGAGCTTTCAATGAGAGGTCCAGATTGACAGGGAATACAGAAAAAATACTAAGCAACTCTTAAGGGGTAGTGCTACAAACAAATTACCCTTAAAATGTAACTAAAGGCAAAACTTTTTTCATAGTTTTGGGTAGAGTGGAGAGGGATTAGAACACCTGTCAGTTTGTATTGCTTTTGGAATCTCCGTTAGGGAGATTCACCCTTTCTATTAGTCCTCTGTACCATTATCATTGAAAGTGAAAGTAAAGGAAAATATCAAATTTTGGGTAGTCCCCAGAAAACTAATAGTGGGAAACTTTCCAATGGGGACACTAGTTCTGTTGACCTGGGGGTCCAGAAGGAATTCCCTTAATTTTCAGAGATATTCTCACTTCCTGTTTTGCCTATGAGACAGGAAGTAAACATAAATCTCCCCACTGGGATGTAGATGATAAAAAATAAACTGACTGACCCGGCCTTACTCTATCCAAAATTAAAAGAAAAATGTTGCCTATAAGTTCTACTTTAAAGCCCAGCTAAACTTTCAGTGTAAATGAGCCAAAAATTTGTTGGGTGCAGCAAAACAAAATGTGTTGAATGTTTGTTTTCTTCAGAAAGAAGCCACAACCTGGGAAGAAAAGCCTTTCACCTGCCAGCATGCTGTAGAGAAAGACTCTTATCTCTCTGTAGAGATCTGACATTTCCCCTGCATAGTCAGACCTATAGCTTGTGCTCCCTGATGACTGGAGAGCTCCACTAACCTCTGACTTGGTAAGGGGCATGTTGGACCTCTGCTGAGAGACCACTGCTTCCACACAGAGAGTCTGTTGCAGAGCTGGTAGTAGACAGTCTTTTCAGCTAAGGTTGTAGCTGTTTTCTAAAGAAATCCAACTGTGAGACTAAATTCTTACCCTTATATAATATGTAAATTATTACAATGGATTTTCTCTGGCTTGCTCCCTTTTGGTCTGTTACCTGTATAATTCAAATCATTTTGTTATATCTGTTGGATAAGTTAACAAAATACCTGTTCTCCCTGTCTGACACCTATCTTCCCTAACTTCAGGGTACTCCTCTGGATACCCTAAGACTCTTACTTCCCTGTATAACCAAAACGTGGGTCTCATCGCAAACCTTGATAAACCTAATTTGTTATATCAGCATGTGAAAGAAATATGTCATGTTAGATACTCAAGACATTAAAGTCTTATTAAACCCACAACAGTAAAAACAGTATATGCAGTACAGCATGCTTGTTATACTCACTGTGGAACCTAAGGGGTTAATCCTCCATATTGTGTAAAAAGGCTGTTTGATCTTGTCTTCTCTGATCCTCCCCTTCTTCTACTGTCCCCAATCCATTTGCTGATAGTACAGAGCTCTAGGAGGCACTCTGCACATGCTCAGTTTAGTGGGTATGGCAAGAGTTTTTTTTTCTTTCTTTGGGAGGGTGCATGTGATCGGCACAGGTCCAATCAGCACTGTCCAACCAGAGGTTCAGGGGTTATGCAACATCAGTCAGAGTAGAATGAAAACTCCTCCTGACCACTGCTCAGCTGGACACTGATAGAAGTCACAAGATTGCTATATAGTGCTGATGGTAAAAGGTATTTAACAGTTTATTTTTACTATAATAATTGCATTTCCATGTTGTGTGTGCTGTGGAAGACCAGATATAGTGAATGCAGGGTCCTGGGTTTAGTAACACTTTAAAGTGATACTAAATGCTTTTTTTTTCCCAAATAACAAGCATGTTATACTTACCTGCTCTGTGCAATGGTTTTGCACAGAGCAGCCCCAATCCTCCTCTTCTCAGGTCCCTCCAGCAGTCTTGGCTCCTCCCCCCCAGCTGAGTACCCCCATAGCAAGCTGCTTGCTTTGGGTGCACTTGTTCATCCTCGTTCTTGAGCTGGCTCTGTGTCCATGAGACACACAAAATGGGGCATGGCCCCACCCCTGCTCCCTCCTCACTGGCTGTGATTGACAGCAGCAGATGCCAATGGCTCCTGCTGCTATCTCTGAGCCTAAAAGGAGGCAGAGAGGCAGGACAGCAGCAGCTCTCATGCACATCGCTGGATTGGGATTGGGTAAGTATTGGAGAGGTTGCGGGGAAAGCTGCACACTGAAGGTATTTTACCTTTATGCACAGAATGCATGAAGATAAAAAAACCTTCAGACTTTACAACCGCTTTAACATGTATTGCTTAGTTGTTTGGATGTATTAATTTGTCCACTGTAGGACCTTGTTGTTGTTTTGAAACTCCCCAGGTGGGAGATATTGTACAACTTATGTGTGTGATGAAACCGTTTTCTAATTATCTACTTGCCCTCCTGAGGATTTACCCCCCTTCCTGACCAGGCCATTTTTTGCGTTTTGACGCTGTGTTACTTTGACAATTGAGAGGTCATGCAACGCTGCATCCAAATGATATTTATGTTCTTTTTTTCCCACTAATTGAGCTTTCTTTCTGTGGTATTTGATTGCCTATGTGTTTTTTTTTATTTTTTGCACTATAAAAAAAAAAGACCAACAATTTTGAAAAAAAAAAAACAATATTTTTGACTTTGCTATTAAATATGTCCAGTAAAAAAAATTTAAAAATCACATTTCGTCATAAATTTAGGCCAAAATGTATTCTGCTACATGTCTTTGCTAAACAAAATCCCAAAACATGTAAATTAATTGTTTTATGTGAAAGTTATAGCATTTACAAATGGCAGAATAGATACTGGAATTTTATTTTATTTTTACTAGTAATGGCGGCAATCAGCAACTTATAGCGGGACTGCGGCAGGCATTTTGACACTGAGGGAAACTGACTTGCTATCACTGACATCCCCAGTGACACCAATACAATAATTAGTGCTAAAAAAAAGCACTGACACTGTATTAAGGGCACTTGTCAGGAAGGGATTAACATGAGGGGCGGTCAAAGGGTTAACTGTGTGCTGTGTGCTGTTTTACTTGTGTCTGTGTGTGTGTGCTTCACTGTAATCGCACTGCTTTGCAAGGCTGTGCTGTGCACACCCATCCAAAGCAGTGTGCATGAGCTGACAGGGAGGAGAACTGTATTGTTTACCTACAGTTCTCCTCCCCATCGGAGATGCTTGGCAATCACCGGGCGGCAGCGAGTAATCACCGGGTGGCACACGGTGCTTGACAGCCACAAATGGCGGCACGGGTAGGGTGTATGTATATATATACGATAATGCGCTCCCGTGCCGCCCTATAGCAGTATATCTGCTATAGGGAGGTCGGGAAGCTGTTAAAGAATGTATTAAAAAAAAGGTTAATGTTGCTAGAAATCCAGGGAGACTGCAACTTCCTATAGTAGGCTGACAATGCTGCATCAAAATCCCAAACAATATTATTAGCCCTGCCAATGGTTCCTTTGTGGCCCACAGAACACCTCCTCTTTACGCTATTGAGACGAAGAAGGGGAAGTGTTCCATAGTCCTAGCACACTTACTTTTCCAAGATGTTAACAATACTCCTCCATAGATAGAGTACAGTAAGCAGACCCAGACTGGCCATAGGGCACACCGGGCATTTGCCCTGTTCACTATGAGGTTTGAAAAGATAATTTGTGTATCTATAAAACATGTAACAAAGAAAACAGAGGAAAAATAATATAGGGGATGGGGAAAGGACTAGGTGAAGAACAAAATGAAAAGGGAAACTATGGGAAAGGGAGAGGGGAGAATTAGTGGAGCCAGGGAGGGACCCCTGTCTAGATGCAAGAGGAGGGGTAGATCA